TTTTTTTTTTTTTTTTTTTTTTTTTTTTTTTTTTTTTTTTTTTTTTTTTTTTTATAATGAACAATCTTGTGCTGGTTAAGAGTGCATGAGTCTTTTCTTTTAGCACCAGTTTCAATGGAACTCATTCATTTAGGTCACAGTTCCTCCAGTGGCTGCTACATACCCCTTGGCGTCAGTGTGGGATTTCGAGGCTGACAGCCGTACCTGTGAACTGCAGACTTACAATAGTCCTCTTGAAAATGGTCTATAATTGTATGACAATGGTGGATTGTTTTTCATTGGGTCAAGGGTAACGTCCTTTCCAATGCAGTAATTAAAATTCTGAATCCCAATAGTCCTCTCCTGCAAAGAAGGTAACAGGAACAGGAATGTTTAATACAGGTGGGAGGCAAAATGAGGCTAATTTTGACAGGACCTAGATGACTTAAAAAATGTATGTGTGAGACATTGATGGTAACCTGGAGAGAGTAACCATGAAAGAAACAAGAGATAAAATGGACCTCCCAGTGCCTAACTGCTGTTGATTACCAACATTTGCAATATGGTAGTCATTTTTAACAGTTGTTCTCCTGTTAGATGTCCAGATAAAAATGTGGCACCATAAGCGCCTGGCTGTCCATATTGCCTCCAAATTAAGTGGTTTTATTTTTTTTTAATTGAAAAAAATGTTAGATTTGTCAGAACAATGTTTTTAATGTTTGGGAGGGACAGGAATGGAACAGAAGCTTGCTAGAGAATGAAAGCATTTACTTTGATCTGCAATGAACACTTAATTTGAGACTTCAGTATTTTAAGAGCACCTTTGTGTGATTCAGAGGGAAAGTTTACATAAACTTCCAAAGGAAAACTAATGCAAATGGAAAGAGGGAGATGTATTTAAAATCTGTCAGAACAAAATATTTTCATTTTTCGAAAGTTTTGTGTTTGGGCTTTTTGGGGCATAACTATTTCAGTGAAAGCAGTATGTGATTTGAAAATGCCCATCAATGTCAAGTGTCTGCATTTCCACACAGTTCTAGTAATAAATTTGTTTTATATATATATATATATATATATATATATATATATATATATATATATATATGTGTGTGTGTGTGTGTGCGTGTATAAATAGCTGTGGGTCTTGTAGATCCTCTAACCATTTTGTTACCTCAGACACCCACTTTAACTCTGAATAAAAAAACCCCACACTCAAGTTACAGTTTCCAAAGAGGCGGTAGAGAAGCATCGATACTGCTCAAATAAGAGAAATGCAGTTGAGTGTTTCTATTTGCCTAAACCATACCACTGAATACCTACGAAAGACCTGGAAGCCTTCTTAAAAACATAAGAGCCTGAGGTCAGTTGAGATGAAAAACATTTTTTTAATTGAGCTACGCATTATATTAAGAACTGGGCAACACCAATTAGCCTTCATTACCCTCCTGTCAGTCTCTCTGTGAAGAAATTGTCTTGTCTCCTATTAGGCACTAAATGATTTGTACCAGACATTTTTATATCTTCTCTCTCCTTGTCAGGCAACTGCCATTTTGTCAACAAAGCGCTGGGGCTGGTGTTTCCCTGCAGTACAATGAGGACTACTGGAATGATACTGCTTGTAAAAGTCAAGGCTTGGATGTAGCCTGAAATTTTGAAAACCCGGATGGAAAGCTGCATGAGGGTTGTGTCAGGATTTGTGCTCATGCTAACTTTCAAGGTGTGTACAGTGCTTTTCCTAAGTGCGCTTGAAGTAACTCAGTCTGTGGTTCTTTTCTATCCTCTTTGCTGTTAATTATTTGGGTCCACTTGGCTATTATTCACTTTCATTTTATGTGTGTCATAGAGACGATTAAAGCACCCAGGCTGAAGGAAGAAAGTGTTCCTACAGTGAGACAAGGGCAGGTAGGAAATTGTTGTGCTGTAGGAGAATGTTGTGCAGTCAGGCACAACTGCTAGCACAGACTCAATATGGGATCCCACAGGATCTTGTCTGAGTTATCCTGCAAGAAGCTATAGGAAGGGAAATTTCATGACTCATTATTTCTGTGTGAAATATTTACGTGCACTGTCTGCGTACCTCTGGTTAACTCAGTCTGTAAGAAGTTCCCCTAGCTATTCAAGCCATATGAATACTCCTGCTCTACTTTCTAGAGATTCCTTTTCAATTAAGAAATGCTGCAGTTTGCTTTGATGCAGATCTCTACCTACTTACAAGCTTCACCCAGCTCCCCCATTGCTAGCTCAGGAGTGTTTCCCCAGCCCACACATCCTTCCCTCCCGAGAGCGCTCAGGTTAACCCAGTCTGCTTAGCCTTCCAGCACACTAACCTACATTTCCCCGATGCTCTCCAAGCCGCACCATGCGCGGCGCCTGCAGCGCTCCCAGCCTCCCACACACGTCCCTGCTGCAATGTCTGCTTTAGGCGGGAGCTGTAAATGCCCTCACACCACAAGAGCAGAGTAGACACCACTTTTACCAGCTTTCACCTGGTATATCCAAGTAAAATCCCTGAGGACACTCATTAGGCAATGTTAATTATGGCAATCAACCTACTCAGTCTGACCTAATTATAAGTAATTAGCTTATCCTTTTATTTCCAAACCTCTCTCCCTAGTGAGACTGTACTTTTAAGATTTTTAAACTAACAAAACTCCTGTCACAGATTTCCTTTTCAGTTGTAGCAACCTAAGTTAAAGGCCTAAGTCCATAAGAAAAGCATGGTCAACATCTCACAGACCTGGGGAAGAAGAAGGGGCCCTTCAAAACTTAAGAAATTACAAGAGTGACTTCTTAAAGTTACTTCACTGGTGTAGGGTCTCTAGTGGGATTTTTTTAAAAATAGTTATAGGCAACAAAATTCCACTAGATGCCTATTTACCTAAAAAAAATCTTGTGCTTTTGGATTATAGTGATGCCTCTCAGAGCCATTGTAGCAAAGAAAGCAAGCGCGACACAAACTATAATTGTTTACAGTTATGCCCAGTTATGCCATGTAGCAAATAAACCCTTTGTTTACAATACCCTCTGGCCATTCTGTCTGGTTACAGTAATGACAAATAGTGTTAAATTATGTTCTTTTAGTGAAAGAATGCAGTATTTTTGTTTTTGCTGCTTCAAGCAGCAAAGATTTGTCTGCGTAAAATGACATTTACTAATCCTCAACTGTCGTTGAAAGACTGAGTTTACGTTGCTCTCCTATTGCAGTTTGAAAACGAGCGCTGCTCACGTGGGTTGTGTGAGATCTCTTATGAGTAATGCACTTGACATAACTGAAAGCTCTATCCTTGTGGTCTCAAAATGTCTCTCAAATGACTGTTCCTATAAAAGCTCTTTGAGGAGCTTTCTAAATACCTCTTTCTTGGCCCAAAGAAACCTTTTTTCTTGAGTTCCTGTAGGGGATTTTCATTCCTGTACCTATCTCCATGTCAAGCAGTATATATACTTGACATTTTGCCTTTTCCACCTGCAGCTCTCTTTCCAAAGCCACCAGTTAATCGTTTGCTGTGTAACAGTGCACCCATGGGATTAGGAGCTTCTAATAACGCTTTTAGGCTTCAGGCATCCACATATGGAAGATGCTGTAGGTGTCTGTCCTTTTCAGACTCCATGCTGAGCACAGGTTTGTATTGTCATGCAGTGATGGACCTTTCTCCCTTACCTTTCCCACTGAAAAGGATGCAGTTACACACAGTCAGTGGTGTCAGTCTACAATAACTTTGAAATAATTCCCATTCCAAGGATTTGTGCTCCTGGCTCATTTGTGCTAATGCAAAGCACTCTGAGATGTGTCAAAATTTCCTACTTTGAATACTAAGTCAATGCCTATTGAAGCCAAATTATTTTTTCCCTCCAACGATTCCCAGGTTCCTTGAATCAAACCCTGTTTACAGAATTCTCCCAAGGCTGTTTTGTGCCTTTCTTTACAGATGATATTTGCAAAATTTAAAGCCACCTTTATTTCCATGCTCGGCATTTACTAATAGTTAGATCTGTAAATAACAAAACCCTCTGCTTGGTCAGAAATGTAACCTGTGTGATGACATTTTACTCAAGGAAAATATTCCAATGACTTCAAGTGGAAATTGATTACAAGAAGTCTACTTGTTTTGTATTGTGAATTTTAAGCACAGTCAGGGGAAATTATAAAGTTAACCTAAACCACAATTTTCCCATTTTCTTGTGAAGGATGTGAATCTGGACACTTCCAAAGGTATAGTGCTGGGATAAATGGATGACTGAGCATTGCAAATTTCTGCATTCTCTTCTGTTTTACATGGAAGAAATGTTAGCAGTGTTCTTGGGTCATGGAAACTGCCTTACTACCATAGATGTTTTGTGCCAGTTATCACAAATAACACACATTTTGCAGACCAGACAACTCTAACTAATCTATCTGAATTTTCCTTGCACCAGTATAATGTGGGCATGATTTTAGCTCAATAAGGGCTGCACTGTTAGGTGTACTGGTGATGCTCCTTCCACAATGGAGAAGTGCACTTTGTTTAGCGTGGCAAATTATGATATAAAAGAATGAATAAACAAAACCCTCATGACAAAAGCCCTCTGTTATGGATGATAAATTAAACTATACTTAAAAAAAAAAAAACCAAACAAAAACCAAACCACACTTGACATACTTTAAGTTTCATTTCTCTGTGGATTCTTATTCTTGCTTTTATTCTAACCCTTTAACATCATCTGTCTTGTCTCTTGTTTTTGCTTGAGTACTACAAAACGATCCTTCACTCTATTACTCCCCTTTGCAGACCATTATCCTGCCCCAGAGGAAGCTGCATATCTCACGTTTCTTGAAGGAATTCCTCCGTACTGCTAACCTTTGCCTCGCTTGTATAAAGCACAGCTCTCTGGCAGACTCTGCCTGTCTCATATCTCTCTGATGCAAGCAGAGGTGTCAGAGTGTCCCAGAGAGCCATTAATCAACGGCCCCCCTCCGCCATCAGCTCCTTAGAAGCTATCCCATGAACCCGGAGTGCTTTTGGAGGTCTAGAGCAAACAGCACAAGAAGCTTTTACCACCAATATCTTTCATAGATCATCTAACCTGATTGATGATAATACTAAGAATTAAATATTTATGGTTTAGAAGCATGGAAAAGTTTTGAAATACATATTTTAAATTTATATGAGAAGAGTAATGTCAATGCATGCAAGATGCTTTTACATAGTGCTTTATAAAAGGAGTTCTGTCCTACTGTTAATGCCATCTTCATTCTTTCATCATATTATTTCATATAAAGTGCACATTCATGAAGTTAAAAAAAAAAAAAGAAAAGAAAAACCACAAAAATGTGAAATAGTAGAAAGAAGTCTCAGGCTTTTTGTCTATTTAACTATTAGAAACAAAGAAACAAGCTGTCATGTTTCGTGTTGCTGAAGTACCACTTAAGGCAGATGCTATATGTACATCACAATGAATAATTTACTATGACCGTATCATCTAGGGCTATGATCTCACTCCTCCTCTTCCCACTAGTAAGTACCCACCATGTCTGATTGATAGCTTGTGGCTGGATGACCCATAGATACAGAGGCAGAAGAAATGGAGAAACTTCTATTAGCAAATCAATCCTGCTCTCTTCTATCAGAAGGCATCCTCTGCTCATGCAAATGTCAAACATGCTGGAGACTTTAGTCTCATACCTTTTAAAAAAATCCTATGAGCTATTCATGGCATTTGGGATGTTAATGCACTTGAAGGATTTTTACCCAAGTAGGCCAATTTCAGTTTTATGAACTGCATTTTGGTACAGATACTGCCTTCCATCATGAACAGGCTCAATACTACTATTATTATTCATTCTGTTTACCTTAACGATAGGAAAGCAGTACTTGTGCAAGGTTAAAGTATGTTTTGTTACCCGAGAAGAGTAGTGCCATTTCTGTAATCTAAACTGTGAAGTCCTGCATATCCTAGATATGAAACCCGATAACATAATCTTTTATTCCCATTCTAAGCTACAATTTGCATGAGTGAGTGTTCTCAGGATTAGTTGCATAGTTCAAAAATGTCCAGGGCTTGTTTAGGATTGACAGAAGAAACAAGACATTTTTAAATTAAACTGCTGGGTTTTAAGGAATGTTTCCTTAATTGGTCACCACAACCTTTTTCCCTGACTGAATGGATTTTTCTAAACCACAGTGTAGCGAGACAGTCTTTTCACGTCAGTTTAAAATACAAAGTATTTGGCTACATAAACTAAACAAAGAAACACTATTGAATATAAGAATTTCTTTCTCTGTAGGCCAGCATAATGTCTATGGCCTACATAAATGTTCTGGGCAGCTGTTCAGAACGGCTGATTTCACCTAGAATTAGGAATTTAGGCACAAAATACAAGTGTATGAATTAATTACTTCCATAGGTACCATTAATATTCCTGCCTACCCCCTTCCTGATCTGTCATTAAACTTCAAAAAGTGTCCACAGGAGACAAAGCTTCAGAGTCCAAACTGAAGTCTGATGACATCTTGATGGCTTTTTGGGATCTTTGAAAATGAGATGTATAACCAAGCTATAAACTTGGGTGAACATAGCACACTCCCTTCTACTTTGATTCAAATGCATTTCCCTCCACAACATTTGATCTTATAAAAGAAATTTGAACAGGCTTTCTGCATAACCAAGAAATAATTTTACAGTTCTGAGCAAGTTCTCCAGCTCCAATGGCCCTGCAGCGCATGCTGGGTCTCATTTCCAGTCAATGTGGAGCTCTCCTTTTCCAGAATTCCAGACATTATTTTGGCAGAGGGCTTCCAGCACCCACTTATCTACAGAGAAAGATCTGCCCATCTGGCATTAACAACAGCTCGCTGTGAGATACCTATCTTCTAAGGAATGGTAAATGGTAGGATCAGCTGACAAGTAAAGCAGAGCGTTATCTGTGTTTTTCCTGACTTTGGTGAGCTCGTTTTTTAACTTCAGCATTCCACCAGGGAAGTCTGTTTTTAATACAGGCAGATAGACAGCATGATAAACTTAATGTTCTAACAAGGAGAGCAGGACCAGTTTTATCTTCATGGCAACACAGGTTCCATATGCAGTCTTTCAGCAAAGCATTTAAAATTGGAATTTGAGTAAGCATCACATCCAACTGTTTTATGGGCCTGGGTCTTGGGTGACTAGAGAACACTGAGCCACCGTCATCCTGGAAACCAAATGCTGGGAGCTGGACAATGCTCTTTGTGTCTGGTTGAGGAATCAATCAGATCAACAAAGGAACTGATTTTCAGAGCTGGTAAGACCAGAGTAAAATGGAATTCAGAACTTTGGCTGACTGAGGAATACTGAGGTCCAAAGAGATGTGCGTATCATCAGGTGACAAGGACAGGACAACAAACTTGGGCTCTCACATCCTACTTTTCCACCTCTGCACATAAGTTCTATTATAAAACTCATTCAGGCTGCATGTATCTATAATGCTCCCGCCTATGTAGTCATGTTAGTATACGTGTTGAGGTATATAGACCTCAGAATTTTTGAATCAGTGTTTCAAGACGGTCAGCATGTGCTCACCTAATGCGTACAGGACTTTCAAAGGTTTTATTGTCGCAGTTTAATGCAACTATGAAGAAGTGGAAAAGCAAGGTGGAAGAAAATAATGTGGAAAAATCTTGTTTAGTCTGTTTATCAGGAATTTCTGACAAGTTCATGTGCAGAATGACGATGGAAGAAGATATTCTCTAGGAAATATCTGACACAATGCACTAAGACGAAGAAACTAGAATACTGACAAATCTCTCTACTAACCCTGCAAGCACTGTAGAAACACATTAAAATAATGAGAAAAAAAACCACTAAAATTTCCTCTCCAGGTACAAGATTTTTTTTTTTTTTTTTTTTTTTATTTCCTACTACAAAAAAATCAATTTTTCCTCTCTCCTCAGCAATTACATGTTAGTAGCAATTACATGTTAGTGTGAAGGCACTTTGTGCCTTGAAAGTATTACTTCAACAGATAATGTAAAGGCTTTATTTGCTACTGAAAATTACAGAAAAGCCTCTGTAGCATATGACCTCAGTATGTTTCCTTCTCTCACCCCCACCATGGAGACTGAAACAAATGTATCGGATGTTAATATTGAAGTCTAATTAGGTCTTAGAAATAAAAGAATACATTGCTAACTAAGCAATTTCTTCAGTCAGAAATGTTAATGAATATGGTTATCTAGTGCAATTAAAGGCTTGAATAGGACATCTGATGTCACATTGATTTAGAAAATATCTCATCTAAAACTTTCCCCACAGGTTAAAGGATGCAAATAAAATACTTTATTCTTACACAATATTATTATTATCAAAATATTTAGTTATTAACTACAGTATTCATAAATTCAGATAGGTGCATTGAATTATGTCTATTAGAAAATTCTGTTTTTCTGTATGCTTAATGTTTCCTATAAAACCTAATTAGAGATTAGATTAAGGATATCTTAATAAGATCTGCAGCTGATTTTCAAGCCTTATTTTGAACCAGTTGTGAGAGACTGAAATGTCAAATGACTGTCTCAAAGCTTGCTTGTGTCTGTGCAAACCTCAAGCACAAGCTCAGCCTTTGGACTAGTCTAAGAAACTGTCACCCAAGGAAGCAGGAGTGTCTTGAAGGATGCACTCCCCCTCTCCCTTGCAGTTGGGTTGTCAAAGTCCTTGATAAACCTCAAAGAGGGGGAAACTGGACTGAGTTTATCACTGTTTATAATGTTTATCACTGGCTCTGTATTGTAGCCATTTGTGACTCTGCTGTGTCCGCCAGACACGGTGCGCGCACTGCTAATGAACTGATAAGAGGTGAACCTTTCTGCCCCACAAGAGGGATGATTGCTCAAGAAGCATGAAGTCAGCAAAAACCTGTGGGACCAGAGGAAAAGCTAAAGGTGGACAGATATGCTAATCAGAGGATACAATGAACTTAAAAAAGGCAACAGAAAATTTTGCATGTGTACCCACCACAGAAGAACTGAAGACTGAGGCCCAACGGGACCCCACTGCATGCATGGTGGTGACTAGTCTTGCGACTATCCCATATGCTTGCCTGATTTCTGTCTTTTCCATCCATTCTGTCCTATCACTACCCCTCTTCACTTTTAATAATAAAAAATGTTCTGGGTGTATGGGATTTGACTCGTTTGTGTCTTAATCTCTCTCTTGTGATCATATCAAAACCTCCCCGACATGGGATAGGGACACCAGTCAGTGTCAGTATTTTAGTCAGAAACAGTGACTCTCATCACTGACTAGTGACAGGTTTAAACCAATGGGAATTAAGATGTTCTGGATTTAGACCCAGAGATTTACTAAGAATATCAAGCTGAATATCAAGCTTTTAGTTGAGAGTTTTAATCCTTGGTGTTCATTGTAAACCATAAACTAGGTGGTTCAGTCCGGAGAGGCAAGTGGTGTGATCGGATCATGGAATCCAGAACAACACTGGGCTTAGATCACTGCATGATCAAAGTCTTCAGGACTTGTGTATTGGGTTTGTGTGGTGGAGTTTTGGTGGCGGGGGGGGCGGGGGAAGCAAAGGGGTGGCTCCTGTGAGAAGCTTCTAGAAGCTCCCCCAGCTCCAAACTGGACCTGCTCTGGGATTAACAATGGTGGCTGTGCTCCTGTGATAATGTGTTTAAGAAGGGGAAAACCCCAAACCTGGTGGGGGACCTGCAGTGGTGAGAGGAGTAGGAGTGAGGGAAACACCTCTGCAGACACGAAGGTCAGTGAAGAAAAGGGAGGGGGAGAGGTGCACCAGAGCAGAGACCCCCTGCAGCCCGCGGTGGGAGGGCGGCTGTGCCCTGCGGCCCATGGAGGTCCTGGGGGAGCAGATGCCGCCTGCAGCCCGGGGAGGACCCCACGCCAGAGCAGGGGCTGTGCCTGGAGAAGGCCGCGGCTCTGAGGGAAGAGACCTGTCCTGGAGCAGTCGCACAGGGAGCACTGCGGCCCGCAGCGGGACCTGTGCTGGAGCAGTCTGTGGCGAGTTGCAGCCCCATGGGAAGAACTTACATCAGAGAAGTTTGTGGAGGGCTGTCTCCCATGGGAGGGACCCCACGCTGGAGCTGGGGAAGAGTGTGAGGAGTCCTCCCGCTGAGGAGGAAGGAGCAGCAGAAACAGCGGGTGATGGACTGACTGCGACCCCCAACCCCTGTCCCCCTGCACCACTGGTGGGGAGGAGGCAGAGAAACGGGGAGTAAAGTTCAGCCTGGGAAGTAGGAAGGAGCCGGGGAAAGGTGTTTTTAAGACATGGCTGTATTTCTCACTGTCTTACTCTGGTAAATTAATGGTGGTGGTGTTAAAAAAAAAAAAGATGGATTTTTGTCTCACAAGCTGAGTCTGTTTTCTGCCTGTGACCATAACTGGTGAATGAGCCCTCCCTGTCCTTGTCTTGCCTACAAGCCTGTTATATTTTCTCCAACCTATGCCACCAGCAGAGGGGAAGGAGGGAGCGAGTGGCTACTTGGTGCTTTGCAAGCTGGGCATAAACCATGACAGCTTCCAACCTCTGAAAGAAGACAGGGAGATGGTCTGCAGCCTTAACTCTCTGCCATCAGCTTTGACTTCCTATCTAATTATAGATAACTTGGGATTAATGATCAGATCTAGTCCTAAATGGATTTTCCCCAGTTCATTACTGCTCTGTAACCTTTGTTAGATGAAGTCTATGGGGTTATAGTTGTATAGAGAGTAATACAATCAAGAGTGGAATGAATTCTCTTCAATCCTATATCACATCATAACTAAAACCAGACTATGCATGCACACAAAACTTACTGAATTCTATGAAATTTGGAAGGGATTCTTACAATTTTGGCCAACATAGACAAAAAAAAATATCATTGCTTCATAGCTGTTGCTATTATATAAAACCACATTATTATTACTGTTTTCGGTTCAGAGAACGTGAGGATACTTTCTTGGCAAAGAACGATGATGTGCAATTTTTTCCCCATAATATAGTCTGTCTCTTCTACTTACTGAAAAATCCAAGGGGAAAAGTACAGTAACACTGTGGCTGTAATGTTTGTTATGACTTAATGTTAACTTTGTTGAGATTTTAGATTTGCTTTAAAAAAATCACAGAGTCTGTTTGTATATGCTATAACATTATTTGGATTTCTGTGATTGAAGAGAAGTGCCTTAGCAAACCTCAATAGATGTACAAAGCTGATAAACATTTTCCACAAATTACATTCCCTCAGCATTTCCCTTTCCTTTAATTGCACTATTTCTTTTTATTACACTGATATTTTCCATTAGTTTTTAAATGGAGCAGATGTTTTTCCATCAGTTTTGGATTTTTCCTACCAAAATATTAACTTGTCTTTTCAGTCTTGTATATAATGCTTATGGCTGGTAAAACTTAATGAAATAGCTATTCCTTCCTCATGGCACCAATGTTCTTCCAGCCTGATGCGATGTTTCATTCTGAGAAAAATCTGTCACTGTAGAATTCCAAAGTAATTTGATAGTTAAAGTCTAAACTGGTTTTCTTTCAAAAAAATGTATGATTTTTGTGTTTTAGACCTTAAGTGATATAAATCAGCATAGTTCAACTGATTTCAAGAGGGAGATGTTAACACTTGCTAAGGCTTTACCCTCTTCAGGCTTTTCTTGAAAATGCTTTTGTTGTAAGCAGCAGGAGATGAATATTCATGATACTTACATATAAAATTGGTTAAGAGCATCTTATACAAAGTCTTTTCATGGACAAATATCAGAGATTCATCTCAACAATTTTTTTCTTTCCTCTCAACCTCCCCAAAATCCAACTCCCAACCAAACCTCAGATTTTTCTATCACTGTTCTTCATTTATTAATGGGAACTTTACTAGACAGCCAAAAGAAAAAAAAAATCTGATAAATTACTCCATGATAAATTATTCTCTTGCTTGCATCTGACAGAATCAAGCATTAAATTTGCAATAGAAAAGTAGAAACTGTAGTGTACTTAAGAACACTCAGAATCATTTCAAATTGAGCATGCATTCTCTTTTCAAAGGATTTCTTACAAAAGGACCATTCTGAATCTACTGCTAGTTGCTTTGAGGACATATTTTTCCTTTAAAATTCACAGGTAATTTTAAAATAAAATCTTAAAAATACAAAATTTTTAAAAATATATCTACATAATAAATGAAAGGCTACTAGAATAGAGCAAGACTAGATCCGCATGGAATGATGTGTTCTCTATGAAAGATAATGAGGAGATGGTTTTGTAAATGTTCTCAGCATTCCCACAAATCACTGTGTTACTGATGGCTCATATTCTGGATAGAGACACTTAAAACTTCAGAGGCTTGAAATACTTTATTTTCTTTCTCGAGTCTTTAACATTCCTATTACATGCCTCTGCGTTATGTTAATCAGAACTGCTTTTACACATTGTAATTTTCAATTATGCTTCAATTTTCTAAATGCATAAATTGTTATGCTATAATGTAAAACTCCAAAGGTGTGTGAAAATGCTGGATCAGAAAATTGTATCATAATTAATTGTTTTATAAAATACCTTCTTTTTCATTAAAGGTATTAAGTATCTAAATACTTGAGGTGAACAGTAGGTCAGGGCATGAAAAACTGCTGAAAACAGTCTTTTTAAAAGTCAATGCATTCTAGTAAGTGATGATGAGAATATGAGAGCATTCCAAGCTGCTATTCACAGTTTGTTAAACCAGAGAGGTAAAGTTCCTATGTTTTATCTAATGTCACCAATGAATCTTTAACCATATGAAGAAAAAAAATCAAAGGCAGAGATGGGAAGAGGGACAACAATTGACTTAAGACTTATAATGTTCTAAATATATTATCAACAGGAACAAATATGAGCATTATTTCCATTTTCCTAGAAACATGAACTTAACTTATTCCAAAT